TGGCTTATTTGTGTGTAGCCTGTTGTTCCTTCCGCTCGGGCAGATGCACTCCGATTTTGAAGCAAGTCCCCAATTAGTCGACTCTTATGACATGCTTGTTGGGTAGGCAGTGGGTCTGTTCTTGTTTTCCCTATAACGAGGACCCGAAACTTGACTTGGACTTCCAGGCCTGCCCAGTCTAAAATGTATACTTGTAGTTTGCTTAGGTTAGGTTTAGGTTTAGGTTTAAACAGCGGTTCCACATCATGGCCCAAAGGTGTCCTCTGTTTTGCTTTTAACTCAAGTGAGAGTCCGAAGAATTCTAGCCTAGCGCACGAGCTCCGTAGCACCGGCGATGATCCTGAAATGCACAATAATACACCTTGGCGTCCGATCTTATAACCCATAAACCAGGGGAAGTTACTAGATGTACACGTGAAAAATAGTGTAGCCTTCACCGGGGCATGAACCCGGGACTCCAGAATTCGAGGTGGTATGCGATGCGATGCGGGCGGGGGGGGGGGGGGGGGGGGGGGGGGGGGGGGGGTGGGGGTTGTTGCATGCTTGACAAATGGTATTTAGGGAACGATTATTGTTCAGTGACCTACACAAGAGCTCCCTCGAACAAAAAATGACTGCTGGGTCCCTACAGGACAGCAAAGAGTACAGCGAGAACATGATCATCACAACAAACAGGCGCAGGTGATAAGTTTACTGATAATACAGTCAGCCTCGCTCGTTTAATCGAGGTCTAACATACTGCTACGAAGAATTGGTGATCAGTAAATGAACGCTCTTCATCCACTATATTCAATCGTGTAGACATACTAACTAACAGACTCCAAAGGCGGCACCAGAGACTTTACTATCTTCGCCGCCGTTCAAAGAAGTATCATGCTTACTCTGCGTCTGTTTACAGATAGGTTGTGATATTTCCACCTCAGGTTTACCATGTCTGACTGTAGATCTACAGTCAGTCATGGGCTAACGCATCTGTCTTCATAAAAACATTTTCTTTCTTTCTTTCTTTCTTTCTTTCTTTCTTTCTTTCTTTCTTTCTTTCTTTCTTTCTTTCTTTCTTTCTTTCTTTCTTTCTTTCTTTCTTTCTTTCTTTCTTTCTTTCTTTCTTTCTTTCTTTCTTTCTTTCTTTCTTTCTTTCTTTCTTTCTTTCTTTCTTCTTTCTTTCTTCTTTTTCTTTCTTTCTTTCTTTCTTTCTTTCTTTCTTTCTTTCTTTCTTTCTTTCTTTCTTTCTTTCTTTCTTTCTTTCTTTCTTTCTTTCTTTCTTTCTTTCTTTCTTTCTTTCTTTCTTTTCTTTCTTTCTTTTTTTTCTTTCTTTCTTTCTTTCTTTTCTTTCTTTCTTTCTTTCTTTTCTTTCTTTCTTTCTTTCTTTCTTTTCTTTCTTTTTCTTTTCTTCTTTCTTTCATTTCTTTCTTTCTTTCTTTTCTTTCTTTCTTTCTTTCTTCTTTCTTTCTTTCTTTCTTTCTTTCTTTCTTTTCTTTCTTTCTTTCTTTTCTTTCTTTTTTTCTTTCTTTCTTTCTTTCTTTCTTTCTTTCTTTCTTTTTAACTTTATATGTTACGTATTATGTAACTAACATTGTCTCAAGATAAATATAAAGAACAAAATGATTCATTTCCCCCCAACCCATATTCAATATTTTATTATTATTATGTTTGGGATTGTTTACTTATTGTCCATTATTTTCATTTTTACTTGTCACTGTTTTACCCTTGAGAATGAAGGTCACGAGTCTGCACTGTTTTCAAAAATTATTTGTTTTGACCTCATAATACCCTTTTTTTCTGTTCTGACTTTAATCTCCAAATGTAGCATAGGCGCTAAACAAACTCTTTGTTTGCTTGCCTTGTGGATTTCGGGGATCCATAGTTGGGGGTGAGGTTGGACCCACTGCCCCCTAACAAGTCTTGGGAGGCGACTAATTAAGGCTGTTTCTCTCAAAATCGGAGTGCATCTGCGTGGGAGGCGAGGAACCAACAGTTTGCATACAAATGAGCTACGAGACTGGTCCAAAACCTGAGAGGGTGTTTCCAAAATATAGCTTTAAAAGTGTCATAGAAATTACAACAACCATGCCATTGTCTTGTAACCTATCAATATTGTTGTTAAGGATGTCAAGAGTATTAAACACGTGACTTCCTTGACAAACACGGTGATGTCATAATGACAATTTAAAGTTAGCCGCACCATTTTTGTCATTCACTAAAGAGGAGCAACATTATTGGTTATGGTAATTTCTATTACACTTTTAAGATTTTCATTTGAGCACCCCCCCCCCCCCCCCCCCAACCCCACGCACACCTTCCCCAACAGTACGATTTAATAATCGTATTATGTCAAGGGTTCACTGCAAATTGATACTGAGCTACATTCTCCAATGCATTCTCTGATTTACGAGTCGTATTTATTGTCGTCTATTATATATTCAACCATTTTCCCAAGCAGGTGTTAAACTTGTTTGTGTGATATGTACCTGCATCTTGACTACTGTATGTGGAGTTATCAACTTCACCAACCGCCTGTGTGACTAAGTCTAACACCTGTAGAGAGAAGAAACACAAAAACATGTTTATGTTGTAAACAAAAGATTAGAGTTAAGAATCGACATAAAAGCACCTAATTAATTCATTCATTCATACACTTACCACACAGTGTGTGTGTGTGTCTGCGTGAGTGTCGATTCGTCTAACTTACATAGTGCCAATTCGTCTAAATTGCACATAAATATACATACAGATACATGCACAGATACACACATTCAAGCATCCAGGGGGTATGCATTAATAGTATTCAAGATTTGAAATAATGCATTACATGAAGATCTCAAGGACACTTTTATTCAGGCCCGATGACTTATTGGCTAGATCGGATAAGCGAACGACACAAGGTGACCCACGTGGACACAAGGAGACCCACGTGGACACAAGGGGCCCACGTGGCGACACAAGGGGACTACGTGGACACAAGGAGACCATCTTGAACCCAAAGGGACCTACTTGGACAAAAGGGGACACATGTGGACACAAAAGGACCCACGTGGACACAAGGGGACACACGTGGACTCAAAGGAGCCAACGTGAACACAAAGGGACACACGTGGATACAAGGGAACAAGGGGACACACGTGGACACAAGGGGACACACTTGGATACAAGGGGAAACACGTGGACACATGTGTGGACACGTAGACACAAGGAGACACATGTGTGGACACAAGGGGATCCACGTGGACACAATCGGACCCACGTGGACACAAGGAGATCAATGTGGACACAGGGGACCCACGTTGACACAAGGGGACACACGTTGACACAAGGGACACATGTGGACACAAAGGAGACACAGGGGGACACAGGGGAACACATAGGGACACAGAGGAAGGGGCAAAAAAGAACACACAGGGACACAAAGGGACACACGTGGTAATGAAGGGACACAAGAGGACCCACGCTGACACAAGAGGGCCCACATGGACACAAGGCGACACATGTGGACACAAGGGTACACACGTGGACACCAGGGGACCCACGTGTACACAAGAGGACACATGTGGACACAAGGGGACCCACGTTGACACAAGAGGACACACGTGGACACAAAGGGGACACACGTGAGCACAAGAGGACACAGGGGAACACATAGGGACACGGGGGGAAGGGCAAAAGAGCACACACAGGGACACAAAGGGACATACGTGGTGACGACGGGACACAAGAGGACACATATGGACACAAAGAGAGACACGTGGACACAAGGTGCTTGGTGTGTGTATTATATATTATAGCAACAGTAAAGACAAAGTAGTTTCTACATATCTTGGACTAGTTCAAATAGAAAAGTGTGATGCAAAAAGTATAGTTCAGGAATTGAAGAAACTTCTGATCAGCAAACAATTAGACTCAAGAATTTGGCTGCAATTGGTACCGATAATGCCTCGGTGATGATTGGTATCAACAATGGCTTTTATGCTAAATTGAAGGAAGATATCCCATCATTAATCCATATTAAACGTGTGTCATTCCTTGCAGCTAGCATTATCACATGCTTCATCTGAATGTTTACCAAGGAATTTGGAATACGTTTTTGCTGAAACATGTAACTGGTTTTCCAAATCATCTGTCAGACAACAGCAATACAATAACTTATATAAAGCATTAAATAAGGGTTTCGCACCACTGAAAATTTTGTCATATTGCAAAACTAGATGGTTATCAATTCATCCAGCTGTTGAAAGAATTGTGAGCCAATGTTGGAGTTAAAGACGCACTTCGAAATAACCAGACCAAGCTAAAAATGCTACATAGCTGAAATACTATATGAAATGTACAGTAATGAAGAAAAAAGTTGGCATTCCTTCTCTTTTTACAACGTATTCTAATGAAAGTGCAAAAAGTTAATAAACTATTCGAATCTAAACATGTTGTTAGAGTTAAATTACTTGACGATCTCACTTTGCTATTTCACTTAGTTGGTAAAAGACTGGTTTTGCCAAATTCTAAAGATGATTTGCTCACTTGCACTATAGAGAGCTATTTGGCTCCTGAGCTATACATTAGATATCAAATCGAATCAAAATTTGATGATTTAAAAACGAATGAACTGTTTACAGAAAATGAAAATGAAAAGAACAACTTAAGAAAGCTCTGTCAAGATTGTCTTATCTCATTATTTAATTAAAGCAGAGACTTCCAGAAAATCTAGATGTATTGACAAATATTTCACCTTTCTTCAGCCAGTAAAAGACATACCTAAATATTGTATAAATATTGTAAAATTATGACATTTTTAGGAGCTACTGATAATAGTGTGGCGGAAGCAGAATATCAATTAACCAAAACAAACTTGGTTGACTGGATAAACAAAACAGAAAATGGAGTGAAGTGAGACAATTTAAAGATGCCCGAGGAATCAGTCCATTCTGTAAGCTCTTTGAATGTGCCATGTCTGTCATGATACTACCCCATTCAAATGCTGACGTAGAAAGAGTTTTTCAGTGCTATGTATTATATCAAATCTAACCTAAGAAATAGGATGAAACTTGACCTCTTAAATGCTATCTTGACTATAAAATTTGGCCTAATGAGAGTAGGAAAATGCTGTTCAACTTATCAGCTCACTGATTGTGTATTAAAAGAAATTGGAACAGCTAATGCATACAAGAGTCATTTTGGATCTGAAGCTTTAACTGAATTATGAAAGGTAAGTTTATCCTGTGGATCTTGTGAGACAGACATCATTGAAGATGAGGACAAAATTATATAGGGTAAGTCATCTCAAAAGCTATGTAATTTCTGACCGTTTCATTTAGATGTTTTTTCTCTAGATTTCTCCCCGCGCAAATCTAGATATTTCTAGATATTTTTTGACACAGTTCTAGATGTTTTCTGTCAAAGAAAAGTGGCAACACTGCTACAAATATGTTCGTTGTTGGCGTGATAGGAATTTATTTGATGCAGGGGAAATAACAAACAGAATATGTGCCCCTGCAGTTTAAGAGATCGCCGAAGGGTTGTTATCTATCTATCTTCTTTTACACCACTAGAACATCACACAAGCGATGACACAGAGTGCAACCATGTGGACGGGGATCACCCGTGGAGAGGTCCCAGAAACCGCGTTCAGCCATTGAACCATATTTTTTGCAGTGCTATATTGTGGCCCCTGGCAGGAGCCAAATAACGAAACAGTGCATCCCCTAAATGAATGAGGGGATCATTTTTAAAAGGTTGTTATACCTTTGTATCTAGAAGTAGAAATCATGCTAGTGTATTAGGGTCATGGAAAGATACTCTTTTGTGAGCAATGAAAACGAGGTTGCTGAAGCACTGGCTTTACCAGCTCAGTAGTCCAGTGTTCAATCAATGGTTGCAATGGAAGTTTTGTTCTCAGCTTTTACGTACAGCCCCTTAATCTACTTGCACCGCAACATCCCGTTTAAAAAATAGAAATTATATAAGTCATCTCCTTGTGAGATGCAATTTTTCGTTAATTTGAATCCCAAGCCTGGCTCTTGCCAGGGGCCGCAATATAGCCCGGCTATAAATAAGACCTAATGGCTGAACGCGGTTTCTGGAACCTCTCCACTGTGATCCTCATCCACATGATAGCACATTGTGTCATCGGGTGTTTATCGCTTGTGTGATGTCCTGGTGAGGTAGAAAGTCACAGGCAGTCAGTTTTTTTTTTTCAATTTCCCGAAGTTCCCACTCCCAACCTCCAGGTATTTCCTATTTTAGTCAAGAGTCCAACCGGTTGTCTACATCCCTAGTGGCTGATATTTCTTGTATCCTTTCAAGGTTTATTCATTGTTCGTTAGCTGTTATGGCTCAAGTATTTTACATGATGAGGCATCCTATCCTAAGCGTAATCCTATCCTTAGCCGCCTCTTAGCCCAAATTTAATTTTGAACCACCCCCCCCCCACCATTTCACCCCAGAAAAAAACTATTAGATATTCATCCGGGGGGAGGGGGAGGAGGGGAGTACGCACGGCTAGCACAACACTGACAATGTAACGCAGTGGGTATGTCATCAACATTATCATCACACTGTGCTTCTATGCCAGGTGTCCCTACAGGTTCCATACACAGGAAAAATACACATTAAAAACTATTTTCATTTATATAGTATGCTCTATGCGACAACCATGGTTTTGAAAACACATTGCGATGCGTGTCTTCCACAGCTGGACTTATGCTTAAAATGGCGTTGATGATTTGTTTATTGTTTCTATGTAGGAAAACTTATGGGACACCCTGAAGAACAGGAGACGAGGAAATAATTTTGCTAAGGGCCATTTGAATACCTATAACATCATTCACCCGATATACAACTGACCCAAAAATTAGCCATGTACACTTGGTCAAACATTTTATTGCGACTGCTTTGATAGCGTCAGCCCAATTGATTTTGGACGCTGCGTATGTTCTCTAACTCTGATAAAGTGAACTAAAAATGAGCCATATATTTTACGCACTCTGTGCTTAGTCTCGATTACTGTGCATATTCTAAGTGGAGCTTGCTACATGGGGGTGGGGTTGGGGTGGGGGGGGGGGGCACTATAGGTGGTAAAAGACAAACCAAGGTATCACATGTTCAAAGAGATCTTTCCACCGCTTTTCCCTTATTACTGTTACCTTGAACGGCTTTGTTTAATCTATGTCCTAATTTTAACTGACAGCGGATAGGAGCGTAGCCTAGATGTCTACTGCCTCTTGTCTGTTTCAGCTCGACGGGATATCGTTTGTTAAGTACTGTTTGAACTGTTTTAGGAGACCCACAAGCACGTTTACAATATTCGGTTTCGCGTCTGCTTTAGACAAATAGGCGCCTGCTAAACAATGAAGGCCACGCAACAAACTTTGTGTGATAGTCGCTGTAACAAACTGTTGAGTGTCAAGATCGTTACATTACTGTTGCGATCGTTACAACAAACTTTCGTAATTTTTATCTTTTCACCCCTTCTTGGGAGCTGCGAGATTTGGTAGGGCAATCCTAGAGAGTACCTCAGAAGGTCCTATAGCAGAGGTTCTCAAACTAGGGTGCCGCGAGCTAATACCAGTCCAAATAAACAGACTGAAGCATAAGTAGAGAAATGACTGCACGTTGGTTGTGGACTGATCTCAGTTTTAGTAATATGTTATGACTCTGAGAGCTTGGTTAACCTAGTACTTCCACCACACATCACCACATACACTTTGGAGGCATAACCAGTCACTTTTAGACAGTTGGTTACAAAGCGATGTCTTTGAACAATATAACAAGCGGGCGATAGAATGGCATACATGTCCCTTTACAACAGGGTCATTTATATCTTGTGCTCCTCTTCACGTTGGTCGGCCCACGATGGCCCCAGCTACAGGCTTTGCTGCTGACGTCACCGGGTCAGGCTAACAATGCGTTAACGCAGCGGTTCTCAAACAAGAAATAAACTATTTTCGACAGTAGGAAAGAAAACTTAAATTGTTAACTTTTAAGTATCTACATATATTTTAATAATTTCACGATTTTTAGCCGACTTTTCTTGATTATTGCCGTGGCACCCCTGGCATAGGCTCACGGCACCCCAGAGTGGCTCGGCACCCAGTTTAAGAACCGCTGCGTTAACAGATCGTTAGCCCGACCCGATGACGTAGGCAGCACGAGCTGTGAGCTGGATCCGGTCGTGGTCGGCCCCTGTCATTCCTGATACCATGCCTTCTGCTATTATTTTTTCCAATCCGTATTTTAGCTTTCGAGTCAAGATACTGATTATTAGCCAATCTTCCTCTATGTTCACACCTTTTAAAATGTCACTATTTCTTCTCTTTTCTTTTTTGTCCATGGTTTTCTGAGAATCTTTTAGCTCAAAAGCCTTTGCTTTCTTTCTTTAGGACTGTGAGATAGTCCACGACCCACATCCGTATGCTGCTACAAGGAAAAAGCATGCTTTCAAAGTTTTAATTTGATTTCTTTTCTGGTGCTTATAAATAGACTTGTAATGCTGTTGCTATAGCAACTGCTTAATCAAAACTCAGTTAAGCAGCTGCAGACCTGATAAGCCATATAAAAGATATGGTACTTTTGTTTGTTGACAAAAGGAAATGCATGTCCTCAATGTTGTAACTTTTATATGTTTCTAGTGTTGAACCAAAGCCTCTTAAAATACACACACGCGCGCGCATACACATACTAACATACACACACACATACATCGACACACACGCAGAGGTAGAGTAAACGGGATTTGGAAACAAATGAGGATGGTGTGACGTCATTAGAGATACCATACCAGATAGTTGCATATCTTTGACCCTTTGAAAAAAAAAAAGTTCTGTCGTTCTTTTACATGAAGTTACAGAACCAGCCGGCAAATTTTGACTGTTCTCAATGTTAATAACCGAGATACCCGCCCGGTTCGATGACAGTTTCAGGCTATCTGGTAGCAGACTGTTTTGTGCTGATTTCCACAACGGTATCGAGAGCTGATCCTTCAGGGGCAATGGCAAACTACTGAACGTCAAATCGGATAGTTTAACCTTACAGCCAAACAATGCTGGTGCTAATTTTGCAACGTCATGAAAAAGATACGCAAAAAAGCAAAAACGGAGCTGCCGAAGTGTAGCAAGTAGATGATTACCTAAGGTCGTGGGTTCAAATCCCCATGGAGCCAGATTTTTTCATACATGACCTTGGCTCCCAGGTCGACCCAGTCTTAAATGGTTACCAGATAAAGTCATGGAAAGTAAAGGCAGCCGGTGTGATGTTGACCACATCACTCATATGTCCGATGCGGCATTGGGATGTAAAGGAACGCTACTTGTTTGTTGACAACAGGAATGGTGAAGAAGGCATCATAAACAATAGGAAAACTTACCAGGAATAAAGTCAGCCTGACACCTTCAGAAGACCAGGCCATCGATACGTACTCATGGAAATCAACGATCAACCCTTGTAAGATTCTGGAAATGTAGAAATTTTATCAATAATTAATTCGTTAGTTTATTTAGTGAACTAATTTGTCAGTTTTTGTTTAGTTACATAACGTGTCAATTAGACTGTCGGTAAGGCAATGTCCAGTGAGTTAGTCAGCTAGTGGGATTGTCATCAGAGCATTCCTGGCACATTCATATGTGCTTCATCATCTCATCAATAGCTCCAAAAGCGTAAAACGATTGATCACTGATCATATTTGAGGTTTATCAAACGTCTTACGCCTTTCGTGAAAGGCTTATGTTTGGCAATTCCAATTCTTCTTCTTCTTCTTCTTCTTCTTCTTCTTCTTCTTCTTCTTCTTCTTCTTCTTCTTCTTCTTCTTCTTCTTCTTCTTCTTCTTCTTCTTCTTTCACCATTTACCTCAGTAAGGTGTTGGGGGAAGGTGTAAGGATCGTATGTGCGCTTTTTTCCAATTCATTTACAAGTTGGTGTTCATTTCTGTTTGCTCCTGAGGGGTCGCTCCATGTTTTGCGTGGTCTTCCCCATGCTCTGTGTTTATTATATTTCTTCAGCGTGGCTCTCTGTGGCAGTTAGTACCAGGGTATTCTCGTCAGGTGGCCAGACCATCTCATTTGTTGTTCTTTAATGAACTGTATGACCGATTTAAGTCCTAGTCGTCTTCTAATTTCTTCGTTACTGATTTTATCTCTTCCTGCCACACCGGCAGCTCTCCTAAGACATCTCATCTTTGTTGTTACGATCCTCCGCTCATTACTTGCAGTAAGGGTTCATGTTTGGCACAAATAGCACAAAGTCGGTCAACAACTGTTCTTATGAGATTTGCTTTGGTTGAAAGAGGTCTCATTCTATGCGTCAGTAGCAGTGTTAATTGTACCATAACCTGAGCTCCAAATTACATCCCCATATCCACCAACCATGACAGAGATACTAAATCATGCCTGTTGCTGTAACGGACTTCTCGATTTGCACCTGGCATTAATTATATCGTTCCTGTCCAGTGCCAAACCAGCCATTGAATAGAAACCACATTGTCCGCAAGATAATCTACACGGTAGTTGCCTTGAACACCCGCATCAATCGACACAAAGATAACGGTCGGACAAGACTTTTGGATGCATTTAATAATATAATCCAGTTTTTTTTTCTGGCGAAGCAGGCAAGTATTTTCTTGAGACTATTCGTTGAGGCTTTCAGTGTGCACGTATGTTTTAATTCTTGAGCACTCATCCATGCCTGTGCCCTTGTGATATTTATCGTTTCCATTGTAAAGTTGCTTGTTGCAACAGCAAAGGGCGTCACTCATCGCACATTGGCTGTCCTTGAGTTCACCGTAAACGCCCATGCACATCACTGCCACCGAGTGACAAATAGATCAATGTAAACCACGGAATCGTCTTTGTACTCGTCAATCGGTCAGCTACTTGGCTGGCTAAGTTAGTTGAGCAGTGGGTGATCAGTCAGTAGATTTGTCAGTTATTGAATCAGCTAAAAATAGTCATTTAACTAGTTGTAGATTAGGTAATTTAACTAGACAGTTAATGTAGTAAATAAAACACAAACTGTGACTCGACAGCTCAACAGGGTGAATGGAAAATATGAGCACAAATACAACTGAACGTTTCGACCAAAGTGTTTACCAACGGAGTACTGAAAACAGCACAAACTGTGACTAGAAAACTAAACTGGTCGGTGTACATAGTACGTGCTGCAAATACATGTTATAAGAGAAATGATTCGTAATAAGTGAACATAAATGTTACACTCCAGCGTGAAGGGTAGGCAGCCATATCATTTTTTTTTCAACGACAGATAATCATTTTTTCCCACCAAATACTAAAGACCGTCGGAAGAACTATTTCTCTTCTTTTAATTAAACAACCCTCGTATTTGAGCTCCATTAGGTGGTAGACCCCCCACCCCCATCCTCGTCAGATCCAGGAGTGTAATGTATCTGTGGAAATATTGTCATGACAGAGGCCGCATTGTAGGCTTAGTCATCATCGTGAAGGACCTTACCTACTGATGTGGACCACCATGATGTATTTGTATACCTCCCCTCCACCGCTGATATTATTAATTTTATTATTTCTATCATTATTGTTTCCTTTGCTATTATTAACTAACAAATAATATATTGTGGACTGGAAAAAAAAGTATGAAAAGATTGAGACCAAAGGGGTAGAGCGCGTGCCTAATTCTTAACCCTTTGAAAAGTGCGTTTGTTCGTTCATTTGTTTGATATAATCGATAACCTTTAATGTAATGAGTCTTACCTTCTCTAATTCTTTGCTAATACTTGTAAAATATATAATAATTAGGTTCAATGTCGGTATCCATCCCCTAATTATTCGTGTATAAAAATTTACAACTCACAGTTCCTGCGATGCGATGTTTGGCTGTCGTGTGCCTGCGCACAGCATGAGATAAGAAGCTGCACATGTTAGAAGTGGCACTACACTCTTTTGGGTTAAAAGTCCCAATTAACAATACTTTCCGTCCTTTTTAGGATGAAATTTTTCGGTATTTGCAGCCCTGCTCTTACCAGGGGCCGCAATATAGCACTGCCATAAATATGGCCTAAAGGCTGAACGCGGTTTCTGGGACCTCTCCACGGTGATCCTCACCCGCATGGTGGCACATTGTGTCATTGGGTGTTTATCGCCTGTGTGATGTCCTGGAGGGGTAGAAAGTCAGTCAGTCAGAAGTGGCACTGTTGCAGACACAGTGTTGGTCCTGTTCTAGAAATCTTCTCCCACAAGGTAAAACCGAAACAATGGATTTCGTTTTTTTTAACGAATGGATCAAGCCTGCGCTTTAACAGTGAAGCTATTAGTAACAACACATATTTTGTTTTTGTTTTTTAAGGATTTCGTCAAGTTTTTGTGTACAGTTTCTTTTTGCATGTTTGTTCCGTTTTACTCAAAATAAAAACATTGACTAAAATTTCTCGGAAGCAACACCCCCATTATATTTAGTTAGGAGCCGCCACTCAACCCGTGTACAGTATACACAGAAGTATAGCCTCAAATTACTACAAGAGAAGATGCTAATGAGACGTGGTATATACTACA